GGCATGTGACCCTGAAAAAATATTATTAGGCCTTTCCCTCTATGGAAATTGCTGAACTTGGTGAATGGTAAATTGCAGGTGCTGGGAGGGCCGTGTCTGCTACCACCTGGACAGAGCCCACCTGAGAGCAAAAAACTAAGGTAAGCAGCGGAGCCCCGAGAGAGATTCTCAGTGACTTTATCTGAGCACCTGGGTCAGGCTGTTCTCAATTTGGAGTCTCTTTCCAAGAAGTCTCTCTCTTTTTTTTTTTTTATAAGCATAAGTTAGTCAGTTGGCTTTTTGACCCTGAGCCATCAAAAGAATGCTTATTAATAGTGTCAGGAGGCAAATTTTGGAAATGATATTCTATTAAGTTTGGCAAATTCTCAGATGTTAGAGTTATGGTTTGTGGTCATGTAGGAAAAGCGGTGGTCCCTAGGCCCTGGCATGTGCTTGGTAACAGGAGCTATGAGAAACTGGATGCATTTCTGTGAAAAGATAACTGGACAGTGGAGGTGGAAACTCTTGTAGACAATGTATCTGGAACTTAGCAACATATTTGAGAGTCTTCTCATTAAGTTCTTACTGACAAGAAGTGTGGGCTAGCTAATAGCGTAATGGATTAACATCCCATAATCGCCTTAAGAGACTTTGATTTACATAACAAAGAATGTATTTTTCATACCGCAGGACCCTTCAGTCAAGCTGACTACATCAGGTGTTCAGCCAAAAGAATGGCCTGTTCTAAGGCTATAGGATAAAGTATTACGGGAGCTAAGGAGGCAGGGGAATGCCTTATCAGATTTTCACTTCCCTGACTTTGGAACCTAGAGTCGAGTCGGTTTATAGCAGTTGAACAACTAAATCCAGTTGACCGGTCATTTTCTGATCTGCAATGAGTCTCTAGAGGTTCTGTTGGGTAAGGACATAGCAGTCACAAGTCCTGCCTGTCACATTTGCGTGTCACAGCAGCTGGGATATCTAGCCAAAACATCGCTTTGAAGGACTCTAAAAGAGCACGACAGATTGCAGAGACGGGCCAAAGTGAACAGGAGAACATTCCCCTATAGTCAGAGCTCAATGCCTGGGTTAAAAAATAATAATAAATCAACAGTTCAAGGACACAACGGGAAGAGTTAACGTGACCGCAATTCACATATACAGAGCTCAGTGGATTGTTAACACAGATCAGCAATGTGAGGGGAAAGCATCCGGAACGAAGGCCGGCAGCGGGAGGCCCCGACCAGACTCTCGCGCCCAGGGTCGGGTGTGTCCAGGGCTGGCCGTGAGGACGCTGAGGGGCTGCAGGCGCCTGCTACAGGAGGAACAGCTCAGGGCCCACGCTGTTCTTTTCAGCCGAGAAGAGAGACTTATCTGGAAATACTCAAAGGGATCTCGCACAGAGGAGGAATTAAACCTATTCAGGGTGGCTCGGGAGCGCTAAACAGGAACCGATGTATAGGAGGAGCTAGTGGGAGGTGGATTCAGCCCCGAGTGAGCCGGCTTTAATGATGAGAGCTGTCCTAATATGGAACAGGCTGCCTTTTGCAGCCTCCGTGGCTTTACAGGAGGGCTGTACAGGGCTGGGGAGCTGGCCCCGGCCTCTTCCGCAGAGTCGCTCTTCCTACTGGGCCTTTTATCCTCTCTGTCTTTTCTGGCTGCCTAGCTTTTTTAAACTAGCCTGCCTCCTACCAGCTGATGACCTCCTCTATCAATTCCTTTGAGGTTCTTTGATCGAATCGTCCATCTTTCTGAATCCCAGTTTCTCTTTTTCCCTTCGCTGTCCTCAATTAGTAGAACGAAAACCCGTCCTCGCCTTGGTTGACCTTGTTAATGAGCACATGGAGGTTATACATGGAGCTGCAATTAAATTGCTACGTATGAGTAACTAGATCATTCTGCCTTTCCTAGGGGTTGAGGAGCCGAAGTGTATAGCTGCTATGTGATGCAGAAAAGGGCAACACTGTTTCAGTTTAAGGGAGTTGATAGGGCAAAGAACAGTCTAGGAGGGTGTTGACAATGTGCTAACAGTACCAATGGGAACACACACCGGTTACTTGTTCCTGGGAAACCTGCAATGCTCCCTAGCTCTGTTTCTCGGTTGTCTGAAATCCCACTAACCTTCACAGCCATTCCCACCACACCAGTAGTTCAGAGGCCCTCCTGTTGATTTCACAAATTGGAAATCAATGAACTTGAGTCGGGCAAAGGGAGGCAAGGCCCTTTGCCAGTGGCTGAGAGTTCAGGGATGGTGGGACTCTTTCATTCACTCGAACAGTAGGCGGTCCATCAGTGAGGAGCGTATCCCAGGGATTGTACTGCCTCCCGAGGTTGGACAAGCTGGAGGAGCCCCTGGTTCTCACAAAGCTTATATCCTAGGAGGGGGAGACAGGCAGTGGACAGCTAAACACAAATATGGCCAAAGAGGTAAGTGCTGCAAAGAAAATAAAACAGTGTGATGCTATAGCGAGGGCGACTGGGGAGGGTAGGTACTTAAGTGAGCCCAGGCATCCCTGAGGTGACACGCAAGCCGAGATCTGAATGAGATGGAACCAGGCACTGTCCCTCCTGCAGGAGGCTGCAATCCTGTGACCCAACCAGTTTCCACCTGGCCTGCCTCAGTGCAGTTGCCCTGCGCTAGACTTTTGTTTCATGTAGGGTTTTGTTGGTTCCTGTCCAAGTATCAATCAAAACTGCATGCCAGCCTCCTCCACTCCTTGGAAATAATTAAATGAAATGACGTGCCTGATTTTTTTTTTCCAGCTGGGTTAATGCGCGGTGATTTACATCTGTTGAAGGCATTTATCTGAAGTCCCGAGGCTGAGCCATCTGGGACAAGGGAGGTGATTTTTTTTTTTTTTTTTGCTCCGCTTTGGCACCCGCGGATGATACATTGTTGCCGAACACAAAAGCGGACTAAAATGTTTCATTCTGCGACACGCTCTTAAGAAAGCTGTTCCCTGCGACGCCAATATGTTCACGCTTCGATCATGCATTTTTCACCGCAAAGGTCCCCGTTGAGTGGTCTAACTTCCTTATATGGCAAAATTCCCTTCATCTTGCTGTTACCTAGGTTTCCGTACAGATTTCAGGGGCTTCGAATTAAAAGTCCCTTTTCTGCCTAGTGGGGAACGTGGGAGTCTAGAAAATAAGCCTTGATTTCAGCGCCCAAGCGAAGCCCCTTCTAGCCAACTCTCTCTGCTATTTAGCAGCGTGACCTGTGTCTTCGATGCAGACGTGAGTCAAAGGCCGCGTGGGCTAATTAAACATAAAATCAAAGCTCCTCCTTCCTCCCCTCCAGTGGGATTTCCGCAGTCAGGGCACAGAGCCCGCTGGGGAAGGGCTCCTGGCGCGCGGCGGGGCCCCCGGCTGGGGGCGCGGGGCTCCCGAGGCGGCGGATGAAGGGTGTGGGCCGCGTGGGACGTGAGCTGCGGCACCCCTGCCCTCGGTCCCTGCGGCGGCGCTGCGAAGGAGACTTCAGGCTGCAGAGTGCGGCCCTGGCGGCCAAGGGCGAGGGGGCGAGCCAAGGACACGCACCCGCGTGCGCTTCGGGGAGCCCGGCGCGGACCGAGCTCCCGGGCTCCCGGGCTCCCGGGCTGCCACCCCGGCACGTGCCGACCCCAAGGGCAAGCGGCTCCCTCGGGGAAGCGAGTGCAGGGAGCCCTCCGTGAGCCC